GCATATTAAGTAATGCTACTATCTTGCTTACATAATCAATGCCTTAAACTCTTTACTATTATGTGGAGGAATTAATATGCAAGTAATATAAGGCAATGTACAGAATGAGAAACATTAACTTTTATTTGTCAGAATAATGGCATTATTAATACACAGCAGTATACCCTTATTATTGGCAGTGCATTAAAAGTAAAAATCATTTAAAGAAAAAGTATGTATAGTTTTTAATATATATGTAATAGTCAAGGTTGTGAAATAACTCATATCCATATCATTAGTGAAGAAAAAAATTTTTTTTTCTTACTCTGGTTTCACACTGTCTATTTAAATAAATGGAGTTTAAAGTTAATGACTTAACAAAACAAAAATATAGCTGAAATCAACCAACATGACAGAAATATACACAGGTAAATATTTTATATAACTGTTGCGTTTGCAGGGGTTTTACATACATTTGAATTTATTGGATTCATTCTCCTCCTATTTCTCTTACCTGCCTGCCCTCTGCTGGATTCCCCAAGCTTATTGACGTATTAAGCAATCTTACTCAGTGTATTTAATAAAATTACATTTGTAGAATAAGTTAAGGGAAATGTGTACTAATGCTTTTCCTATATTTTGTTTATAATGTTACTAAAGTAAATGATTGATCATAGGTTTTACATTTTAAGTATTCATAAAGTGAGAATTTTAGTTGGATATTTGGAAGTTTCAGTCCCACCATTTATGAGAACATGAGATAGAAATGCTGTTAATGCAGGAAATGTCAGAGCCTTGCAAACATTTTTAGGATTGAGAAGCTGGGTGGGGCAGGAGGGACAATGAGGAAATATCCAATTTGATAGTAAATTCACAAAGTAAAAAAGTGTAGAATAATTTACTCTGTTTGATTAAAATTATCATGCTACTCCATTAAAAATATTGATTTAAATATGATATTCAGGGGCTTCCCTGGTGGCACAGTGGTTGAGAGTCTGCCTGCCGATTCAGGGGACGCGGGTTCGTGCCCTGGTCCGGGAAGATCCCACATGCAGCGGAGCAGCTGGGCCTGTGAGCCGTGGCCGCTGAGCCTGCGTGTCCGGAGGCTGTGCTCCGCAATGGGAGAGGCCACAACAGTGAGAGGCCCGCATACCGCAAAGAAAAAAAATAAAATAAAATAAAATAAATATGATATTCAGAGAATATGAATTTACTTGATAATAAAATCAGTATTTATGTAGCACTTATTATTTACCACATGCTAAGTGCTTTATATATATTAACTCATGTAGGCATCACAGCAACCTATGAGATATATACTATTAGTCTCCATTTTACAGTTGAGGAAATGAAGGCATGGTGAGGTTAAGTAACTTCACCAAGTTTACCAGCTAGTAAGTGAGGTAACTGGTATCCTAACCCAGGCTGTTTGGCTCCATGTTCTTTTCCTAACCGCCGTGCTTGGCTGTCTCATCTCAATATTACTTCTTGTAAAATTTTTGAATTATAGACTTACCGTTATCCTGACCTTAGAAACGACAAATCAAAACTCAGAGTTGTTAGGTGAATTTCCTAAAGCACCAGAATTACAAATGCTAATTGAATCCCCTAAAAAGATACAAAGATTAAAGACCCATCTGTCTTTTTCAGAAGGCTAGTTGCCATTCTAAAAGGAAGATAATTTTGTAATTCCTAAGGGCTCTAAATGTCCCTCCATTAATTGAGTTTTGTGACAGAAATGAATTATTTGACATCCTGGAGCATCTTCTGTGCTAATTTTAATAGCTGTAGTGACACAATTCTATCTTAAATTTTGTTAATTGACAAAAAAAGATATGGAGTTGTGTGCATATTTTGCTGACAGAAAATCATGGAAGGGAGTGTTAATTAAACAGAAATCTTATGTGGTCACTCAAATTTAAAAGGAAAAAATAATTGGCTTCTCATTTCCAGAATTACCTGGTGAATCCACAGAACAGTCAGCCGCTGTTCCTGTCACAATCTCATATTTGCCCCAAGGATATTCTGGAATGGGAAAAAAAGCCAAATGGTCAAATTTAAAGTAATTGTTCCTCTCTTAATGACCTAAAAATTGAGGTAACAGAAGTGCTACTTTAAAACTATAGCTTTAAAATGTGGTTGGGATCTAGAAGTTAGGCAAAGGCAATAGTCAATTAAAATAATGGGGTATTTATTGTGTGGCAGGTGCAATAGGGAGGTCAGAAATTAACACTGGTGCTTTGGATATGAGAGTCGGAAATGTTGGAATGGGAGAATCACAAACAAGATTGGATATCAAAAGTCTTGGGACATGGAAATGAAAGTTAAAATATAGGAATCAAAATCTTTAGGAATTAGGAGCACAAAATGGCAGGATGAAGGTACCAAAGATTTTAAAGTTTAGGAGTTGAGCTGTGGGGATGAGGATTCATGGGCTATGGATGAGCTATGAAAATCAAGGGTGAAGAATGGAAGATGCAAATAGCCTGGTCATAATGAATTAGCTTATGCTGGATTAGACCTCCCACTGAAAACAATTATAAAAACAGGACAAATAAATATAAATATACATACATATTTAACAACTATATTACATATATAACAACTCTAAAGAAATAAATATGTATTTAACAATAATTTAACATATTAACAACCATATCACACAACAAATATATATATGTGTGTGTGTGTGTATATATATATATATATATTTAACAACTGCTTGAAGGTACTAGAGAACAACCAACAAAGGCAGGACTTAATTGGCTTCAATCCTTGAGAGCATGAAAGCACTAAGGGCAAGATCCATATTTACTTCAGCTTTTCCCATCCCTTCCCCTCCCACCCCAAAAGCATTTTCCAGTTGGCACAAGGAGTAACAGAGCTAAATAGATAGCAGCGATCTCAATAGGCCAGGAGCAGACAAGGGAGTCTGGGAACAAAAGCAGCTGAGATTCCAGGGACAAAATTCTAGAGAGGAGCAAACCGCAGAGATGTGAGCCCCAAAATCTGTGTACAGATTTCCCTCAAATCATCAGTCAATTCTTAAGATGTATACCTGTAGGGAA